ATTCCTGAAACTTATAACTGCTTATAACTGCACAAAATCTAGTAACCTGTCTCTGCTGACGTCTGACCTCAGTTCCTCAGTTAACCATTACATAAAGCTTCCGGTTTGGCTGTAAATTAGCTCAGTTGGCTGAATAACATTTGAAAGGATTAAAAGAATACAGCAGCTGTATGCGATCCGGCTTGATTTAATTTAAAAGGGCCACCAAAAACGGCTGTTGGACAAATGCTCGAATACATTGAGATTCCTCTCACAAATTAACCATACAGAGTCAGGGAACAAAACACATTACAATAGGATCATTGTTGCACCCATTCATTTCTAAACAAGCAGAGCTTGGACCAAATGAGGCCAGATCCATAATTAAACTAAGCTAAGATTCTGCACTGAATCCACTGTGTCCTTTAATAATGGAAAACCATGGGGACACCCAGAAGAATTAACTCAAACCTGAACAGTTAGAACTCAGAACAAACATTAAAGCATTGGCCACAGACACCCAGCACATAAAAAGCGTGAGGGAAAAGCGCTGCTCTGGAAAAACATACTAGAAACGTAGATACAATGATGTGGTTTCCATGCCAACTACAAAGGCACAGATTTAAGCTCCACCCATTTCGAGAAGAGGGGAGCCAACTATGCATGGCATGAATGATAAAGCTTTTACTGAGCATGCTAAAACCTTTTTTTCTAAGCCCACTGTTGATGAAAAGGGCATAAAGTCTGTTTAGAGTTGTATACAACCTGTACAAATATACACTCGTACTGGTGTGCACATGTGGTTTGGAGCAGTCCAACCAAGTTTCGACACTCTAGTGAAAAAAAGGAGGTCTTACACTCAAGAAGTACAACACCCTTCGATTTTATTATCTATCAACCGAAAAAAAACCTGAGCCTAGTAAGAAAATGGGTTTGACTTCCTCTTGTCCTTACTGGCCCAAAGTCAAAAGTGAGATTTGTCTGGACAAAAATACTTACATAATCAAGCATGCTCCTAATCCACACACTGCCAGCACTTCCAGTCTCTTTTCAGCTCTGTTTCTTGAGGAAATGGTTCTATTCTGAGAATCCTGACCGGAACATCCCAAAGGAAACAGCACTGTGACCTCGCTGCATATGTCTATGTCAAGTATCAAAGCACCAAATGTGCGAGAAGTTTACTGGCACCAGATTTCAATGCTGTCACGCTGTGGAGCGGCACCAATACGACAGTACAGCATTCCCGTGAAACTGTTATTATCACTGAGTATTGTAAGCAAATTATATAACACCAATGGTGCAAAAAAGGACTTTGAAAGAGTTCATGCTGAGGCCTAGTAAGCTGATAATAAACAATGTTATATAAAAAATGATCAGATGTGATCTGTGACCACATACATCATCCCAGATAAATTCATTCATGGAGTTCTGATAACCACAAGACAAGTGGCTGTTCATGTCGCTATGATATCGAGATGAAAATAAATCTCATAAAATGTAATAAACTGAAGAGAGAGTAAAGATTGCAATACAGGTTTTAAAAAAGATTGTAGCAAGGTCACTTTAAAGGGTGTCAATTTTGTTAAAAACAAATGACAAGATCCAAATGATAAGCTCCAAAAAAGACATTTAAGTCATTTACTCGCCCTCATGTCTTTTGAAACCTGTATGACTTTATTTCGTTAGTGGAACACAGAAGGAGACGTCCAGCAGAGTGTCCAAGCTGCTCTTTTGCATGAAATTAAAGTGAAAGGGGACTGGTGTTGTCATGATATAAACTCGCAATTCTGAGGGGGAAAAGTCAGAATTGAGACTGTGAGATATAAACTCACAATTGGCACAAAAAAGAGAGAGAGAAAGGGGGAAAAATCCATAAGTCGCAAATTGCCTTTTTTATTTTTTATTTTGTGGCAGAAAAAAAAAGTAAGAATTGTGAGATGTAAACTTAGAATTGAGATGTAAACTCAGAAATGCAAGAAAAAAGTAAGAATTCTGAGTTTGTATCTTACAATTCTGTTTATATCTCATAATCCTCAGAACTGCGAGAAACAAAGTCTGAATTGTGAGATCTTTTTTTTATACCGTAGTGGAAACAGGCTTCCATACCATTCACTTTCACTGTATGGAAAAGAGCAACTTGGACATTCTGTTAAAAATTGCTGTTTTTGTGTTCAGAGGCAGAAAGGAAGTCATATGGGTTTTGAAGGACGTGAGGGTGAGTAAACAATGACAGAATTCTCATTCTTACCTGATTTTTGATAAGTGCAGCAAAATAAATTAGATTTGCAGGCTAAATAAAATATCTTATCTTACAGCAAACTACATCTAATGTGAAAAATTGCATACTGATCTAACCGCATACATGTTTACATTTTATTCAAAAAGGCAGAACAAAAATAGCTAAAAAGCATAAAAGAGATGCCCAAAATTTGTTGCTATATCAGGAAAACCCTTCTTTTAGTAGTGTTTAGAACTGCTATGTTTTCTGGACACCCTTCTCTATTGGCTTAGGTTTGTTTGTAAGCAAAACAAACAAGAAACTGTAAGTGACTTCACCCAAATAGTGAGTACATTTGTAATAGCCGCAAACAAAACATAACAACTGCTCAAAAACAATCCCGACCAAGGCTGATAAATTATGGGAGCAGCAATGAAAACAAAACACCTGATCCTACAGGCTCTGGCCATCTGCAAAAAGAAATAAGAAGAACACTCTACCAGATAATCCATGTAATTCCTCGATAGCTTCTGGCTGTTGTCTCCGGAAAACAGAAGTCCTGAGATAAGGCGACTATGAAATGAAACGCTGGTGTTAACTGAATGCATCCAAAAGTCTCGATTTTTTTTTTTGACGGCTTCGGCTTTGGATCCCCCTCCTCTCAGATGTGGAAAATCATTTATGAATAAAGCGGCTAGCAGCGTTAGCTGTGCACTCCTCTTCCTCTGTAAATCCCGCGCACAATTATGTGCATAAAACAAAAAAAAAAGGTCCAGACTTTAATACATTCAAAACATTACTATATATTTTGCCATATAAGTTGTAATAATTCAGACTCAGATGTATGCACGGCGAATGCACTAGTTTAATGGTGCGGGTGGAGAGAGGCGCTGTTTGTTGTGTGTTCGCGAGCCACAGAGGCTCGAGACGAGCGTCACGGCTTCCAGGTGACGTCACTGTCACGCTGACTATTACGTTCATTCATCCAACGTGGATTTAAATTCTTCCTTGTTTCTCACTCCTTTTAACCCGAAAGCGTGTATAAGCGGCTACTCCTTCGACACTTTCAACGTAACGATTGTAGAAGTACGTCTAAGCGATCACGTGATCGTAGATCGTATCTGAAAGCTTGTGAGGCTACGGGTTCTTTAACGTCACGTGACAAGGAACTGCCTGTCCCAGATATTTGTTTGACGGGGACCTCTACTGGTTGAAGTAATGTATTATTCTTCAAGAAGACTGACAGGATGCCTACAGTAGTGTGTTGTGTAATCTGAGATCATACGTCCATAGAAACGTGTCCTGCTCGTATTCTTAGTTTCTTTCATAATGCATAACTTTCCCAGATGTGCGTCTGCAAGTCTGTTAAAGATTGCTTCATCTGGAAAGCATCTGCTGTGTACAAACATCTGATAGGCGTCTTTAAGATGTCAGTTTTACATACATTCATAAACATCTTAAAGACATTTTCTAAACGTCTATTTGACATCTGATAGGAAACGTCCTTTAGACATATTGCAGATGAGCAAACACTCAAAAAAATATGGCTTGCAATTGTAAATACAGACGTCAAATAGACATCTCCGTGATGTAGGCTACTTGTGCTATCAAATATAAAATTCACATATTTATAATTTTAGTACAGAATAAATTAAAGTAGATTGGACAATGTGTTCAAAATAGAGGAACGTAAAAACACACACAAATACATTTTGTTTATGCTAAACAGTTTGACCAGTGGCCTAATACTCATTTTGGTGAACAGGCCATAATGACACAGTGCATTAAAATTACACTTTAGGCACAAATATAGTTCAAATGTTAATTTGCTACCTAGCATAAACACTTAGTGCACAGTTATGTGAAAGTGAATAAAATGAATTGCACACTTTTAGATGACATGCATGTTAGACAACCCAGCGGGTCCCTTGATATCAATTTGACGTCAAGTATTAGTCAAGACTTGCTTGTCAAGATGCTGTAACATCATTTTAAATTCCATTTGGACAGCAATTTCTTCCAGTGGTAATTGGGTTAAAATAGGATGTTAATCCCAAATTTAAATTGGTTTAATGTGTAGGTATAAGCCAATATGTTTGACATCCAATTTACATCAAATCAAGGTCATGTCAGGTTTTTGTCAGCTTGATTTGCATATTTGACGTCAATTCTGATGACAATTTGATGTCTTTTCAACATCAAATGCCAACTGGGAAGCTTGAGAAGTATTTTTAACATTTTAATTTTTATATGTGTCTGTTTATGTGTCGATTATATTAATTTCGGCACAGTGACTTGTATGACAGTTTAGGTCTTTAGCAATTTATACATTTTCAGGCAATTAAGTATGTTGGTAATCTTTTTAATCAACACATTATCTCCTTAACACCCAATCCAAACTAAGTGAACTATCAGATACTTTTTTTTTTTTACAAAGCACAAGAGAAAAATAGGTTACACTTGAAAATATTTTTATTCAGTATTCAGTTAAGAGTCATTTTTACATTATATGTTTAAAATTGTTTAAGAAATATTAATGAACATGAGCATGATATAGTATGACTAATAATAAAGTTATAAAATGTAATAAAATGTAACGATGCGTTAATAATAACAACATATACTGACTTGAAAGATAACACTAGATGAGACTATGCTGGGTACAGTCAGTGATATTGCTCCATGCAGGGTCAGAGGGGTTTATTCGTGACCCCGGGCTGATTATTATGATTGGCTCCACCCTCGATTATTCTGCCCCGGACCGCAGAGCGCATTCAGCGAAGACAGGCAGACGTACACAAAACCCACTTTTTCAATACTCTTCTGAGAGGATTTTCCAGCTGTTTTCACAGGATAATGTCTTCAGACGTGTTTTGGTAGAAAACAGAGAGCGTAAATTCCCGAAGAGGTTGATTTAACGGGACGGCGCGGAGAGTGTATCTATTGTAACTTTGCAAACTGAGTTTGCAAAGCGTTTCCACACAACTATGGCGCTCAGAGCGAGAGCTTTATACGAGTTTATCTCTGAAAATCCCGGCGAGATCTCTGTGACAGAGAATGAACTTCTAACTTTGAGTAGTGAAGAGGTTGTCGATGGTTGGTTGGAGGGCACGAACAGCAGAGGTGAGACGGGACTCTTCCCTGCATCATACGTGGAGATTATAAGGACTGACACATCACTACACGGTAACGGGACATCCGCCAGTCAGGACTATTACTGCCAAACTAGTCCTCAGAGGAGGGACACCTCAAATGAATCGACTCCCACTCATTCCGCTGTTTACCAGGGACATCTTCAGCAACAGCGACACAGTTTTCAGACGAGCCAGGGAAGCGACGAGGATTGGGACGATGACTGGGATGACAGCGGAACGGCGGATGAACACGGAGGAACACCTGAAAAACGTGGGAATCAAGCAGGATATCCCATGACAAGCACCTCAGCTTCTCGACGTGGTAGTGCGCAACAGTCCAAAAGTACAGGAACAGTTGGGAAAAATCTCAATAGGTTTGCATTAAAATTACACTTTAGGCACAAATATAGTTCAAATGTTAATTTGTTACCTAGTATAAACACTTAGTGCACAGTTCTGTGAAAGTGAATAAAATGAATTGCACACTTTTAGATGACATGCATGTTAGACAACCCAGCGGGCCCCTTGATATCAATTTGACGTCAAATATTAGTCAAGACTTGCTTGTCAAGATGCTGTAACATCATTTTAAATTCCATTTGGACAGCAATTTCTTCCGGTGATAATTGGGTTAAACTAGGATGTTAATCCCAAACTTAAATTGGTTTAATGTGTAGGTATAAGCCAATATGTTTGACATCCACCGAATGGCAAGAGAACCCGTATTCGTTCACTTGCACCATCGATGATCCTACAAAACAGACCAAATTCAAAGGCATGAAGAGCTATATGTCCTACGGACTCACGCCTAGTCATACTCAAAACCAGGTGAATAGAAGATACAAGCACTTTGACTGGCTTTATGCACGGCTTGTAGAAAAATTCCCTGTCATTTCGGTTCCTCACTTGCCTGAGAAACAGGCCACGGGTCGATTCGAAGAGGATTTCATTTCGAAGAGGAGGAAAGGTTTAATATGGTGGATGAATCACATGACAAGTCATCCTATTTTATCCACGTGCGACGTTTTCCAGCATTTTCTCACCTGCAGCAGCAACGACAAAAAAGCTTGGAAGCAAGGCAAGCGAAAGGCTGAGAAGGACGACCTAGTCGGCGCTAACTTCTTCCTCACTATCTGTCCTCCAGCTTTACCGCTTAACTTACAAGAGGTGGAAAGCAACGTAGATGGTTTCAAAACGTTCACCAAAAAAATGGACGAAAACATCATACAGCTCAACGTCACTATTAACGAATTTGCCAGAAAGCAGATCACTGGTTTTAAAAAGGAATATCAGAGAGTTGGACAGGCTTTCAGACTTCTAAGTCAGGCCTTTGAATTCGACCAGCAAGTCTATTCAGCTCCATTAAACAAGGCCATGGCACACACTGGAGAAGTCTACGAGACCATTGGGGATTACTTTGCAGAGCAGCCCCGTCAGGATTTGGAGCCAATTTCCGATCTTTTAGCGATTTACCAGGGCCACTTTGCAAACTTTCCAGACATTATCCATGTTCAGAAAGGTTTGGGATTTTTCTCATGTGTTTGCTCAAAACTGCTTGTCAGAATGGCATGCCATAAAATATGGATTTAGGTCAGTAGGTCGGTAGATTATGTACATGCCATCAGCTTAAAGAAGTGACGCCACCATATGTCAAGTTAATATTTAAGTGGAAACCTCGAATCAGAATCATAAACTGCTATTTCATGAAACTAAAGAAGCATCTTATTCATACTGAAATGGATGGATGGTTTTCTAGCAAAGGCAAGCTGCTGATGTATAATGGTTTTGCTTTTTCTGAACTTTTTGTATCTAATAGCAAATGGCACATACCCATAGGTTCTCGGCAGTATGTCAAATGACATGTCCAGATTTCTCTCTGGTGTGAGAGAGGGAGCATATGAGGCCTGCTAGCTCTCGCAGCTTGAAATGTGTGTTAGTATGGTGGAATGATGCCAACCCTGTTGTAATTCCCATATCCCTTTAGTAGGGGAAGTGTGTACTTCTGACTAATCTATTTTTTCTTTACTGTGACATGAAATTGACTGATGTCATTCTTTTCTGTAGAATCATATCTCTGGGTTTATATGACGCAAATAGTTAATGCAGTTTTGAATGAGAAATCGCTAGCCTACATAAAACATCTGATGCTGGGAAAGCTTTTATTTTGAAGGCTCTAATCCTAAGGTTAGGGCCCCAGCACAGGGTAGCTGTGAATGCTTACACCACATTTTAACACAGAGACATAGTTATTCTGATGCCTTGGATGTAGAAACACATACTTTAACTAAACATTTGATGTACTGTATGTGACTGTCTTTTTAAAGTCAATGTGAATCTACGTTCACACCTTATTCTACTTCAGTAATCAGAAAATCGCAGAGTGAAATGTGATATTTGGTAAAAATATTTGAGAAAAAATATATATTTTTTCCATCTGGAATTGATTGGATCATGAAAAGTATAGGTGTTACATATCAGAATAGAGCCCGGTTGGAGGGGAGGGATTGAAAAGCAAAAGGTATTTGTCAGATGAAGACAGGAAAATTTTCAAAGGCAGAGCAAGTTATTACATTTTCATACAAGAATCCAATGCCAAACTTTTTTATTATGGAGTCGTGCGCAATAGGACCAGGAACTTGAAATTAGAAAGTAAGTAGAGTTCATTTCAAGATGACTTAAAGTGCACAGGGAATACTGATTTCTCCTTGAGAAATTCCAAAGAGAGCTGTAAGCCATAAATCAGAAGCCTGACTGGTCGGACCTTGCATTTTAATGTGTTCAAAATGAAAAAGCTCTCAAAGAGTGCATGTGTGCGTGTTTTTGCAGATGTGATTCCGTGTCGTAGACTTTAATACTTTAGCTAAACCATTGCTTTCCTTGTTTTTTCGTCTTTCTGTTCACTTCTGTCTTTCACCAGGAGCCCTCACTAAGGCCAAGGAGAGCCAGAGGGACCACTGGTGGTCCGTGAAAGATTCCCAGTGGTCTGCCAGTTGTTATTGGCTGGTTTAACAAAACAGACCTTTATTTGAATATGTATTTGACAAAAAGCACAAACATTGAAATAATCAACAAATAATCAACTCATAGCAATTAATTATGAGTAATACAACAATCAACTGTTTGTGTTAACATAAATTTTGACAAATTGTTTCTGTCGTCTCACTTCGATAATATAACTCACGTCAATGTAAGTAAATGTTCATTTCAAATTTTTAGCTTGCAAATATTTGACTTGTGTAAATTCAGTAACAGTAGCGGTCTAGTCCATTTCAAAGAAGAACGAAAGCAAACTGGTGAAAAGGGTGACCAATGAGAGCCCCACATGAGATTTGGGTTGTTAGGGATCCCGCAATTTTTGTTTTACTCTTTAAGCGGTCCGTCACCTAAAAAGAACCATTTAAAAAAGAATAAAAGTGGAAAAATAATCAACTATCAATGAAGAGTAGCATGCTCAGCCCTCAGAGCTCCAATCAAATGACCTCTTGAAGCAGATTGTACCATTATTAGTTTCTGTGCTCACTAGTGGGAAAAACCAGAGCTGTCCGGAGCAGTCAATCTCTCACTGCGTTTGAATTATTTATCAGAGCTAAAGTTAGGCTTCTCTGTCCACACACTCAGGTCCTTAATCATGAAGAATTTATTCCCACACCCTGATCACTAACAAGCCCACACATATTGCGCATAAAACAATGCTAAGAAGAAAAAGAAGGACTACACTGTTCATTTGTGTTTTTATGAACCACTGTTTTATCAATATTTGGTGCTATATTAATTATCAGTAATGTAATGCAATGCATAACTACATTACTACACTCTTAAAAATAAAGGTGCTTCAAAAGGTTCTTCAAGCGATGCCATAGAAGAACCATTTTTTTGTTCCACAAAGAACCATTCAGTCAAAGGTTCTTTAAAGAACCATCTCTTTCTTACCTTTTTATAATCTGAAGAACCTTCTTTCGCCACAAAGAACCTTTTGTGAAACAGAAAGGTTCTTCAGATGTTAAAGGTTCTTTATGAAACCATTTAGACAAAAAGGTTCTTCTATGGCATCGTGAAGCACCTTTATTTTTAAGGGTGTATGTTATACCGGTATACTGTGTGAATAAATATTTATTTGTTATATTTCAAAAGGATTATAGAAAAAGCAATAATTTTATTATAATTTCAGATTTATACATGTAATGACAATAATTTTTACATTAATATATCTAAACTCAGAGATACTTTATCTGCCACACAGACACATACATGTAAACATACATAAATCTGTAGCCCATAGTAAATTACAAGATAACAAATACAGATTGTCATATTTCACTTCAGAAGAATATAAAAGAATTAAAAAGAGATGTGGGTCTGAAGCATATTCATCATTGAAGTAAACTAGGCGTTACGGAGTGTTTGAATTATTCACCTTTCGATAGTAACAAATTTCTGTTGCAGATCTTGCTAATGCAATCTTGCAAGGAATGTAAAAATTGTGGTGCAATATTTCTGAGGGTGGATTTGTTTTTGTGGTCAGCATAATATTTTTACATTTAGACACTTCTTTAAAAAGCACCTTTGAGTAGTTTCAGTTCTCTCTTCAATTTCATTACATTTTAAATTTGTTTGATGATCTGAAACATTAAAGTGTGACAAACACTTTTCAAAAAATAAGAAATCAGGAAGGGGGCCAACACTTTTTCACACCACAGTAAATAAACATAAGACATTGGGTTACAACATAAATCTATAGTGTTTTTTTTATCATTTAGAGAGGAAATGTGAACGAAATATTCAGTTTAGTTATCTTGTAGAAGTAGTAGTTATTCTATATCTTGCACTTTATATAATTACAAATAAACTGAACGATAAATCTTTACCTTCTCTAATTCTACTTACCTGTAGGCTTAAATGTAATAACAATACTATTATTTAAGCAATCTTACAATCATTAAAACAATAATGAATTGTTACTACATGAAGGCTTAAGTACAATAATGACCTATATCAGAATTTTATAAAACCAAGAACATTTGATGTAAACGCTTCAAGATACATAATTTATATATATATATATATATATATATATATATAA